TATTTATACATCTTTGAGATTTTACAAGTTTCTATCTAAACTTATTTGCTACTCTAGATTATAATTATAATCTTTAGGATAAAGAATTAATAAATGAATGAATAAAATTAAGAGATAAGATATATATGATAAGTTAAATGATAATACAAATGATAAAATAAAATGAAAAGATAAGATATATATTCTAAAAAGAAAAAGATAATAATAAAAATAAATGAAATTTGTTGTTAAACTGTTTCTAAAGCATTTCTGAATCATTGTTGAACCATTTATAAACTATTATTGATTTTGGGACTAATTATTTATTGATAATCTTAAAATATTGCAAAAATATTACAAGAACATTACAAAAATATTATTGAATTGTGATTGAATTCATAATTGATATATTAATTATATTATTCAAAATTACATATCTTCTAAAGATTGATTGATTGGTCAAATTTCTTAAGTTTAAAAAATTATAAAATTAAAGAAATTTATATTACTATGGTAATAATATTTAATAATCATGATTACATATATTTGATTCTATTAATCCACTTTATATAATAAATTATTTAATATAAAGAAAGTATTGATCATAATAAACTTACTCTATAATAAATCAAATATCTCAATCTGAAAGATTCATTATAACCAAAATTGACTGTAATAAATTATTTATTAAAAAGTTGTTATAATTATTATAACAAAAGATTATTATCTGAAATAGTAATAATATTGATTTCAAAATTGACTAGTTATCTAATATTTGCATTTCTTTCTGTATAGCTATTGACATAATATCCTATTTTATTATATTTAAAACACTTAATATTTGCAATACTATTATTATTATTATTTATATTCTTTCTTGACAATCTACAATCACAGGCTATATGATCATTTTTATCACAATTATAACAAGTCTTGTCTTGATTAAAATGATTACTGGAATTTTGACTATTTTGAATTGATAGCTTTTTTATCTGTTCTGTTAGATCAGCTCAGCTATAACTTTATTCATGTCATTTACTGAATTTGGAATGGTAAAGAAGATACCAAGATTTTGTGACATAAAAGACATGGAGTTAAGAGGATTTTGATAAGTCTGTCTATAGCTAGACTCAGTGCTGATCACTTCTGTGATTGCTGCTTCTAAAGTATTTGGATTGGACTTGTTTACATGAAAGATAATTTCTGATTTCAAGCCTTTCACAAATTGCTTAATATAGTATGTGGCAGAATATGCTTGTGTTAGATTAATTTTCTGAAGTAATGTGTGAACATCTTCTAAGCGTGACCTCGCTATTAAAGCTTTCAGTGATTTCATTCCAGTCCTCCGTTGAAAAGAGATCGTATTTGGGCATCCTCCTCGGTCAGATCGAGGATGTTCCAATACGCAAGGCTACAAGTACTGCGATCAATATAGCTGCATTGACATCAAACCAATGACCGCAATCCAAACAACCCATCTTAAACATCGATAGCTCTCAGGAATCGTCTCTGTGTATCACGCAAGCACCTCTTCTACGTCGGTCCCACTACTAAGGGTCCACGATCGCCGACGAGATGTTGGCGGCTGATATTCAATGCGTTCCGCAAAGCAATCCATCGTGTTATAATCTCCACTACCCTCAGCAACATTTTTTTCGCTATCGGCCTGACGTATGAGCTCTTCATTGTCCTTCTCATTGTCCGATTGTTCCATACTTTTGCGGTTGTCGTCGTCACCCGGTTGTCTCTGGTGAATATTATCTCTCTCAGTCGATTTGTTATTGTTATCGTTTCCATCAATGAGCTGACTGACAATACGCCTGTTCGCATGAAATTCCTGATATAAAAATATTAGATAAATATTAGTAGAGATATTGTAAGGGAAGTTTCGCGTCTTGACTTTTTTTGTTACCTTTAAATCTTCAACGGTACACTCTGAAGTATGCTTCATTCTTAATGCTGTCTTGTGTTCCTCTGCTTCGGCCTTGCATCGCAACTTATTCTTGAACTGCGATATTTCGGCGGCTGAGAACGACTTGTCATATGTAGACAATATTTTGTTTATCCTTTTTTTAGCATTTTTGCAGACGCTTCCACCTTTCTCGTAGCTCTGGAGCACGGTATAGACATCTCCTTTGATATGATCGATCGCATCGGCATGTAGTTCCCGCTTTGATTCTATGTATTGCAACATGGATATAATTGACCAATCTTTATAGTCCACGCTGCCGAGATAGTCGAGCACGATATCACGAAACATCTACAAAAGAAAAGAAAAAAAGGTCCGAGTTGTTGCTTAACGCGCGTTCACAAGACAAAACCAACGGAAGAGCACAATGACAGTCAACTGCATACTGGAAAACAGCATGCAGATATGAACCTTCAGCACGTATGCTCAAGGGAGTTCTCCGCAGACTGCTTCCATGCATCTGACACAGGACAAAGGGCCATATGCCAGTAGGTACGCGTAGCACACCCTGGTCACTGGCATGCAGATATGAACCTTCAGCACGTATGCTCAAGGGAGTTCTCCGCAGACCAGCGCCAAACATCTAACGCAGGACGAAAGGCCATACGCCAGTAGGGATGCGCGTGACTGGTAGTAAAATAAACCATAGTAATGTACTTTCCTTGAAAATTACGCACGTTGTTCAGGAAGTGACAGACGCGATACTGTAAAAAATTTTTCATAAACAAAAGGGTGACGTCACAAGTTCACTTTGTATGGTTTTGTTACAGCATGCCCCATATAACAAATCGGATAATCATAGTTGGATTAAAAAAAAGAAAGCTAAGAAAGTTAACTCACGATATAACGATAAACGACAGACAACGTCGAGTTTTTTATTATATCACAGTTACAGAATTTGTTGACAGTAATACAGTCTCCCATGACCAAAGCACACGTGGGTTTGTGTGTAATGTCTAACAGTGAAAATTATGTGGTTTTCCTTAATTTCCTTACCTCTATTCGCTATACGATCTCACAAAGCAAGATGAACAAACATCGACAATTTACAAAACTTTCAGATGCAAGCGATGTCTCACTGTCAAGCCCTTCGATACCTATGACAGCAATAACCTCTTCGAGTCAGACACGCTTGCAAAATGCAACAGCTGGTGAGTCGCAACCTCATATTGTTAATTTGTCGCATACACGAAGACCCTCTGTGCCGGGCATTGACCTAGAAGATGAATGGCCACTTACGGAACTTCCCCGAGAATTAAGAGAACCTGAAACTGATAACGATGACAATGCGGCTAATAATACAGAAGCCAACTCAATGCGAAATGACTGGAAGCGAGAACTATTCCTTTTGTTAGAAGATCCGTCGTCAAGCCACCCTGCCTTTTATGTGAACGTGTTTGTTTCGTTTTGTATTGTGCTTAGCGCTGTTTTGACAACCATTGAGACGATACCTACCTTTAGATCGACAGATAGCTCAGTATGGTTAGTTTCATTCAAACTCGTGAAGATACGGCTCGATTGTTAAATATCTATAACTAAAGAAATTAATATATAACATGGTCGCATGAAATAGGTTCAATTTCGAAACGACGATAGTCGTGATATTTACAATTGAATATGCATTACGTGTGTTAGCGCATTCTGATAGCTCGCGACAGTTATTCAAACATGTCACTGGTAAGATCTTTAATCATTTTGAAATTATTCGTGTGTGAAGTCTTTATAAACTTTTCCCCCAATTTTACATAATTCTGTGAAATTTGGAAAAGCAAAGAGAGAACATCCAGTTTGACGTTTATGTCATTTATCACACAATAACCAACATACATATCAACATTTCGTTTATCTTGATTTCGCGTTTATTACCGGCACATTGGGACAAACAGCTCCTTTGGCAGTTATTGATTTTATTGCTATCGTGCCTTACTACATTGAGTTGATGTTTCATCATGATACGGTATTTTATATTATTTGATTTATATATGGATCTTTTTTTTACATCTTAATTAAAAATCATGACATTGTCATTTTCAATAGACATACGATTTTCGATTTACTATTCTCCGTTTATTCCGTCTTCTTCGTGTTTTCAAAGCTTTTAAATATTCCTCTACGATAATAATGACTATTGAGGTGATGATTGTTGCTGTGAAGAGGAGTATTGATGCTTTGAGTGCTTTGTTCTTTTTTATGGTTACGAGTATTGTTCTCTTTTCCACATTGTTGTATTTTGCTGAGCGTGGTGTGTATTTTTTTTTGTTTGTATTGTATAAATTTATTCATGGATTTAATCTTTTCGTTTTCTATTTGTCGTTATTTCACCGAAAAAGGTACCTGGGACCAAGAAAAGCAGACTTTTGTCGATGCTAAAGGAAATCCAAGGTAATTTGATCGTATAACGTGTGCTTTTTACTCGTTTTAATTAAATGTTCTTTTCTAATTTTTATGTTGATTCCTTAGTGTTTTCGATAGTATCCCTTCTGCATTTTGGTTTGTGATGGTTACCATTACAACAACGGGTTATGGTAAATTAATTGCGCTTAGTTTCTTCTTTTTATCAAATAAACACTTTTTTAATTCATAGTTATTTATCCTATTAGGTGATATGGTTCCAACAACTTTTATTGGAAAATTAATTGCATTTCCAGCAATGATGTGCGGGATTCTGGTGTGGTTCGCATTAAAATATATTTTTCGGTTTATAAAACCTTTGTTTAACTTAATTAAAAATCTTTTATGATCTAGTTGATTGCACTTCCTTCAATTATCGTGGGGAGAAATTTCACTTTGGTGTGGGAAGCAATGCGACAGTATCGTAGAACAACACCAAATAGCCGAGTACGTATTATGCAAAAACGATGGTATCATATCCATTTTTTATTCTATTTTTTGATGGACGATTCAAGTTTGCTCTTATTATTTAGGAACAAGCAAACAATGTCACGATGATGGAGGATAATGGCGCTGGATATACAATAAGTAATAAATAATCAATTATCATTCAATAATATATTGCCGTTCCACTCAAATTTTTTTCTCTTGATTTAGGAAACGACTTACGTGCCAGTTTTGAAAGCACACGGTCATATGCATCACAGCCCGCGCGTCCTGGTTATTCAGTACTTAACGATGACATATTAGCCAACCAAGACGCATTATTAGAACAAGTGCGTACATTACTGAAATTGTCGCAGCAAAATCAAGTTGCTCTGCAACGTATACAACAGACATTGGAACAGAATGGAATCAAATGGAATAACACAAGTGTAGATACTAATATTTCTGTTCCTGAGAGAACTATGAAACCTGATGATATATGACAAGAGAATAAGTCATACATACGTTAATTTATGTAGAGTTTTTTATTTAATTATGGAAGAGAACGATTGGCGATTGAAATAAGCAAGAGAAATTTCCACCTTTTGTCTATGTTCTTTGTAAATATAGAATTTGTAACAAAAAAATCGTAATGAAAAAAAATAATATTGAATTACAAGAAATATATACACAATTATTAGTTAATATAGAAACTAAAATTTATTATACGTAAATAAAGTGATATCTCCATTACATTCAATAATAAGCTCCAAGAACCTAGGAGACAATAGAATGGTCAATAACCGAATTACATAGCTTGAAACTACAGCAGCTAACGAGATTTATATTGTTCTGTTTTCCAAAAAGACAGCAAATACGTGAAACACAACGGAAATGACTACGTTTGTAACACAACAGCGACTGAAATAACACAAATTTTTAGGTAATCGAATAGTTCAACTACAGTGCAGGCCACTTAAAGACTTGAATAATTTTAAAAGATAATAGAGCAAGATACAGAAATAGAAAGAAAAAAATAAAGCCACTATTTTAAAGCCAAATTGATTTACTATAAATTGTCGGCTTTTTTTTAAAAAAAATTATTTTTTCATAATATATTTTGGTTTAAAAATAGGTAAATTTAATAGTATTTAATAGTAATCGAAGTCAAATGGAACATATGATTATAGCACGTGATATATTGTTAGACCAATCAAATAATAATGTACGTGAATCTAATTTTATTGGTCAAGAATAAAATTTATTTCATTGGCTGTTTCTTTATCACGTGATAATATTCAATATTATTATGATTGTATATTTCTGAATGACATGATTCAAGAAAAAATATATCTGACTCAAAAAATATAATAATAAGAAAAGATAATTGATAAGAGAGAAAAGAACAAAAATTAAAGAGTGCTAAAAAGATGAAGTTAATAAAGCAAAAGATAATGATAAGATGAAAATTAAATTATCTCTAAATAACTGAAAAAAGTATCTCTTAGTTTCTAAGATAAAGAAAAATAATAATAATATCAAGAAGGTAAAGGATAATAAAGAGAAAAATAAAGTTGAGTAGGAGAAGAAAAAAGAGAAAAAGATATAAATTTATTTACTTATTACTTTTCTTATATAGAAGAAAGATACAAAATAAAGAAACTCAAGAATAATAAAAGATATATCAAAAATAACTTATTATTAGAAGTTTGATAACTTTGACATCCTTATTAATATTATCAAGAAAACTCATAAAATCATAAATTTTTTTAAAATTATAAATAAATCAAGTATTTTAATAAGTGAGTTTGCTGATAGATCTTTAATATCTTCATTTTCTATTTTTTTCAAATCTATAAGAGTTTTAAATTTCTTGATTCAAGTAAATAAAAATGATATGGAAGTTGCATTAATTACTATTCTTCATGAAAAAATTATTTAATTTTGAGAAGATCTTCTAAAAAATATATAAATATTTACTGTATTAAAATATAATAAATAATAAGTTATCTACAAGTATTTTATATAATTAGATAATGATAATGACAAGATAAAGATAAGTAAAGAAGTTATATATGTAATTTATAATATCATAATTCATTCTTATTTTTATATTATAGCTAATATTAAAAATATAAATAACTTATTAATAATAAAGATATTATCTTGTGATATTAATAATAAATATAATATTTGTTTATCTCAGTTTAAGTGATATGTTAATAATATTTTACTTCTAAAATATGTAAGAAAAATTAAAAAAATAATTAATACACAAATTGCAAAGAAATGACTAAATACTTTAGAATATTATTTTAAAAAATATCAAAAAAAAATATACTTTAATGAATATGAGTGAGAAAATATTATTACTTATTAAAAAAAATTTTTAAAGAAAATTTGAGAATTAAAGTGATGAATAATGAAGTATAAGAAGAAAGAAATGAGAAAAATTCTATTAATACTTAGAAAAAATAAATGAGAATTAATTCTTATTACTTATAATAAATGTATTTTTTATTTAAATAATAAAAAAAAAATGAGTTTGAATATTAGATAATGAGATATTATTATAAAAAAAGTAGAATTATGATAAGTAAATTCATTTTGGAAATATGTGATTAACTGAGATTAAGCAAAAAAGAGTTAATAATATATTTAAATATCCTAATAAAAATATATTATTTTATATCTAGCAGAAATTAAGAAGACTATTAAATTATTAATCATTTATTAAATTAAATTAAAAATAAAGTGATTTTTATCTTTAAAATCAAGTTTCCTAATATAATAGCCATCTTTATCTTTAATAATAATATAAATCATGTAATATTTGTAAAAGATACTCTTGTTATTATAAGGATAAATCTTGATTCTGAGAAAAAATAACTAATAATGTAATTAATAACTTTTAGAAATTCTAATAAATAATATTTAATAAAGATTATAATAACTTAACTATATAAGAAAAGCTAAAAGAAATAAGAAAAATATTAGAGAAAAGAGAACTTTGAAGAGAAAAGTTATTTTTAAATTATTGAACTTATAAGAATAAGTAATTGTCAGAAAGTTCTTCATAAATAAACTATTATACAAGAAAAATTATAATTTCTTAATTAGACTTTGTCATCCAAAAATTAGTTATTATGAAATTAATAAAGAATACTAATTATTTATGTATATTTTATTTAAAGTTATATTATAAACTTAACTTTATTAAAATATATTGGAAAACAATTAAGTATTATATAAAAAACTATTATAATTATATATGAACTAACTTATAAGAAATAGTTCTATAAGTACTTGATTTAATTAATATTATAATAATTAGAAATTTGCTCAAAAATTACAAAAATATATAAGTTTATATCATAAGGAATTAATAAAAAATTAGCAGAATATTCTTGTAAAAAATTTAAGTTATATAGACAGATTCTAAAAAGTAAATTAGTTTTATTTATAAAAGAAAATAATAATTTTTAAACTATTTAATTATTTTATATATATATATATATTTAAAATTATTATTATTAATAAAGTTTTGATATAGTTTAATGTTAACAGTTAAATTTCATACATAAAAATTTGATTAAAAATTATTTAATTATTAAAGTAAATAATTAATTTTCAAGTATCTTCTAAAATTTTTAGAACTTGATAACTAACTTTTATTTTAGTAATAGATTTAAGATCTTCTATAAAGTATATGACTTGATTTAAATTATCTATATATTTACATATGACTTAATTATGTAATTATTTCAAAAATATTAAAAAATAAATTTTTTAACTAATTTTAAAATTTTAAATTTTAAGATTTTAAAATAGAATAAATCATGTAATTCAGATCTTTAAGTAATCTATATTATATATATCATAAATTTTAATATATATATATCTATATTTCTATATATCTGAAACTAATAATAATTTCTTATTATTTAATTATAAGTAGTTTTAATTCCAAAATATCCAGATATAATATTTAAATAATTATTATAAAGAACTAATTTAACTTCTATTAATTTAATAATTAATTATGAATGATCAATATCTTATTTATTTCTTTTATATAATTTATTATTTTGTATAAAATATTTTTTCAATTCTACTAGCAGCTATTTCTATTTTTTCTTAGAGAATTTATTAGATATTATTAATATATTTAAATAATTATATAATTCTATATAATTATTCAAATTCATATTTTATTATTTTCTTTTTTGAATGTGAATGATATTCTAGAAAGTGGATCAATATTTGAATAAATTCTATTAGATTTATATTTAATTTTAAAATTATATTTGCATAAAGTTATTATTTAGCATACTAATCTTCTGAGAGAATTTGACTTATTGATTAATCACTTTAATGCTGAATGATTAGTAATTAATGTGAAAGAAATATTAAATAGTAGATAAGATCTAAACAATTTAATTATTCAAATTACTTCAAGATATTCTAGCTCTATTATACTATACTTGCTTTTCTTCTTGCTAACTCTTTTACTAGCATATACAATAATATATTTCTTCTTTTTACTATTATATTGCATTAATACAATATTTAGTCCTAATTCAAAAGTATCAATAAAAAGGATAAATAGCTTTGTAAAATCTGGATAAGTAATAATTAATAATAATATCAAATACTTCTTGAGTAACTTGAAAGCTTTCTGTTATTTTTCTATCTATCTAAATTCTTCATTCTTTTTGAATAACTTGTGTAGAGAGACTGCTATTTTGGCAAAGTCTTTTATAAATCTTCTATAATAAGAGGCAAGTCTAACAAATTCTCTTAATAAAGTGATATTAGTAGATACTGAAAATTCTTGTATTTTTTCTATTTTAGCTAGATCAAGGTGAATATTATTTTTTTTTAATGATATATTTTAAGAAGGGTAATTGATTTTTTCTAAAAATGCATTTGTCAAGTTGGAATTTTAGATTTGCTTGTTCTAAAGCATTTTATACATGAATTAAATATTCTTCTCAGATTTGAAATATATAGTAATATCATTAAGATATATAACTATAAATTTCCCAATGTATTCTTTAAAAATCTTATTTATAAGCCTTTGGAAAGTAGCTGATGTATTTATAAGTTCAAATAGTATTACATTAAAATGAAATAATTTTTTATTGAAGAATCTCAAAAAAGCAAATAAACCAACTCCTGTTGGATATCGAATTAGTATCCCAAATGGGGAGCTAGCTGCACAAAATATTCCCCAACATTGCTATATGCGGGTAGTGCCAAAGTATAAGAAGGATTTTGGTTCTGTGATGGTGCCATATGATATGAAATATGCCGCAGGCCAAAACTTTGCCGAAAATAAAAAGAAAATTTGAGCTTCTTTACAACCTAAGCAAGATAAAGTCATTATAGAAAAAAAGCAAGTTAATTGCTAAATTATGTGATGACAATGGCAAAGAAATGCCTACCTTCACCCGGGAAAGTCTAGTAGGAATTATACCCATCTTCACCAAAGCCAAATT